ATGGAGAATGCCAGGCAGAGATCAGCCCTGGGTGACCAGCACCTTTAGACCTCGGGGCAGGCAAGGGAGTTCTGAAAGCCAGATGCCTGGACATCCTTTCATAGCAGCCCTTAGGGTGGTAACAGTAGCATCACCCCAAGCCAGCCTGTCCTGCCCTGCCCTCCAGAGGGGCCCCAAGGCTCCACAGCACAAGGCTTATGTTGACATCCATGTGTTTTTGTTTGTCTAAAATTCTCCTCAAGCCACACGGATGTGAACCCAGAAGTACAGATAACTAGCTCTGCCAGTGTGTGCCATATACAGGCAAAGGGGCAACTCAGCTCAGTTTGCACGCTCGCACCTACACTTTCTCACAAGGCCTTGATCTGCTGATCCCTACCTCAACCCCTGTGGATACCACCACCACCAGGGCCACCTGCCCCAGCCTGCTGTGCCAGCCCCTCAAGACTGGGCTGACCGCACACAGCAGGTAGATGTGTAGACACCACAACACCCCACCAGACGTGCAGCACCTCCAATCCACCGCAAGAGCACTTTATTGCAGGGATTCCCCACATTCAAAAGGGTGGAAGCCTCTGATACGGTAGACCTTAGAGTTGGCTTGGGGGCCTGGTCAACTGAGGCTCACAGACTGTAAGCCTTAGGCCTGCTTTTAGGAGCTGAGCAGCCCTCACCTTCACAGGTCTGGGATCCCAAGGCCCCGAAGCTATGGCTGTTCCTGTGCCGAAGGCTCTTCATTTGCAGGCCCTGAAATGTTCACATACAGCAGGTCCAGCAGGGGCTGGAGGCACTTCAGCAACCACCCACACCCTTCACCCAGCCTCCCTGGTGAGAGGCTCAGCACCACCACGATCAGAGCACAGGACAGCCATGGAACAGAGCAAAGCCAGCTGGCCCCAAACCCAGTGGAGCAGCCTTGGAGAATCTCCTACGCCAGCTCTTAAGGGGAGAAGGTGCACAGGCAGCTCAGAGAGTGCGGCTCCCTGCGGTCTGAGGCCTAAGGGAAGCTAACTCTAGCCTGGTTATTCTGAGTTCAGGCCACGAGCCCTCCACTGCTGGCTTAGGTCCTCAATGGTGTCCCGAAGCATCTGCGTCCAGTTGTCAGCTCTCCTCATGGGGGTGCAGCAGGTCTCCTTGTGATCCAAGGCTAGGATCTCCGCGGGAGTCTCAGGGAACAGCCCGGCAGCCAGGACAACTTCTGGGAACTTGGCTGCAGAGGCAGGGGCCAGACAGCACCGGGGAACACTGCCAGGGATGGGACAAATGAGAGCAGGATGGTGAGAGAATGGACAGAGGGAAGGTGAAGGGGAGAGTGGGAGAGGAAGAGAAGAACAGGGCAGGACACAGGGGAGAGACAGTCAGAAAACTGGCACCTTGAACCTATCTCAACTGTAACACTGCCTGGCAAACTACTCTTTCTGGTTGGAGGCAGTTCAACCACCATCTCTGCACCGACTGTGCCTGGGATATATATCTGCCACACTTCTTCTGGGCCTGCAGCTCCTGGACACAGTCCCATGCACTACCCACCATAGCCCATTAAAGACATTTGTTCACAATCCTGTTTCCCCAAAAGGAGAAGAGGAGGGCTCCAAAAGTCAAAGGGTCCCCCACAGCCTGTACCTGGGCTGCTGCTTATCCACCTGCTGGTAATGGTAGCTCACGGCCACGGCTGAGTGGGGGCACAGCAGGTACTGGTTCTCGGCCCAGCAGCGGCACATGGTCTTGGTGATGGTATCATCCGACACTGATTCAGATGTCACTGACTCTGAAAGCTGAAGGGCCCCAGGGTCAGAAGGGTGGGTCCGGTTGGGGGTAGACAGAGAAAGATGAGGAAAGCCCCATTCTA